ATATTTTGATGGCGAATTTGTTAGATAGTTATGGTAAATTGATTTGAGTAAGTGTATACAAACATAATCATTGAACTTTGAAATATGCACATAACTATTATCATCTAGGTTTTAACTAAAATTTGCACATAACTACTTCATATTTGTAGTATACCCCTAAATTTCTTTTCTCTTTCCTTGAAATTTTTTTTATCTTCTCGATTAGGGTATTTAAGATATTTTACACAATCTCATAGACAAGGTTATCTACACTTACTCAAAACTATAGATAAGTATATGCACTTTAGTCATCATGAGACCTATGAAAGAAAAATAAAAGCAACGCATTGGGCCAAATAGACCCAAGTGCAGGTGTGTAACATTTTTTTTTTTTTGAATTATTGCAAAACCCTGCACAAAGCTATGGGAATAAGGTGCTCCTCACTTGAGCCAAAGAGTCCCAAGTATAGGTGTAACCATTAGGGATGAGGTCATGGAGGGATTTATAATGCAACCTACAATTTCTCTTGTGAATATTTTCAAGTTAATATTAGTGTATACTTAGTACTTGTTATAACAACACAGCTAACAGTGCATTGCTTTTTGCGCCATGATTACTGCTCCGCACAAGCAGTGTGTTGGAAGGCGACAGTCGTACGCATTGCAACAGGCGTTGTGCTCTTCGGATCGATATTTGGATGATTGAACCGTACAACATTGAGGCGACACTTCTCTTTACCGGGGGAACCCTTTCCAGATTGCTGCGTTTACGTCTTCTTCTTGTGGTGTGTTCTTTGTCAAGAGCGTCGGGAAATACAAAATCGCGGGACAGATCTTTTCTTAGGAAATTAACTGCTCATTTGGTATTGTGAGGAAAATAAGCAGGAGAGAAAAATATGAAGAAAATACTTTTCTTGATTCATTTGCATATACGAAGTGCCTATTTATAGGCCTGTACAAGAGAATATTCTATGGTACAAAATCAATTAATCTAATTATATCAATCAATTATAATATGAATATAATCATAGCAATGTGAACATAATCAAGGGAGAATATTCTGTAACATCCCCCCTCAAACTCAAGGTGGTGAAGAGGAGACCAGCTTGAGTTTGGAAAGAAGAGTGCGGAAGCGTCCAGGAAAATGAGCCTTAGTGAAGAGATCTGCAGGCTGATCAGCAGAGCCAATAAAGATCAGGTGGATAGTACCTTTGGCAACATGATGTCGAATAAAATGACAATCAACCTCAATATGTTTTGTGCGTTCATGAAAAACATCATTGTGAGCAATCTGTAAAGCACTTTGATTGTCACAATAAA